AACTTCCCACAAGGCTTGCAACCCACAAAGTGAGTAACAAGGGGCCACCGATGATCGCCAAGGCCAGGATGATAATTCTCGATCATTTCCTCATACCGGTCCACCAAAATGCCCCAATAACCGTGCAAATAATATGCATTTTCAAGATAAACCTTATCACCCCACTTATCCTTTTGAGTTGCCAATATATACACCATTGCAGACTGATCATCAGCTTCGAAAACAGGCCGATCCTTGAGCTCCCGAGTCAAGAGTTTACCGGCCTCCTCCCTAATCTTGCCTTTCGGCCCCATTGGTGCCCAAGTATCAAGAATATCTAAAGACCATTGGCAATTCCTCAACAAGAAACTTCCCGTATTCAATCCAATCCAGTTCTTTTGATCGTAAACCATCTCATTCCACCCGTGCATCACAAAATTATGATCTTTATACCTCTCCCATGGCACCTCGAACACCATATCCGTGAACATCGCATCACTATCCATCCACCACAAGAATTCCACCTCCGGATGCGACAACAACAGCTTCCTAATCAAAGGTAGTTTTGCCCAAAACCCAGCCATTTCCGCATCAAGCAAAGCCATATTATAAAAAATCTCAATACCATGTAGCCTACAATAATCAATCTTATTCTTTATAGACTTCAACAAGTAATGATCCCCCACAGGATTCTCACATGGCTTCGGGGATGACCCAGTAACTAACAACACTCTAGGCTTATTAGGAGCAATAAAATTCGGAAAATTTGGGTTGTTTTTCAACCACTCACCTCTTTGCTGATCCCAATCTGAAATCTTTGGGCCGAGGCTGTACGGCTGCGAAAGATCCCTCTTAAATTCTTCAATCCCATCATCTTCATCCTTCAAGATCTTTCTTATATCAAATTCCGCATAATTGTTACTCCCTTTTTCCATACTATCACTTGCTGAACTGGATTTTTGAACATTCTCCGCCTCTTCCAGCACGCGGCGGGGTTCTGACCGCCGGCGGATGTAAGAAAACGTTTCCCGGATCTCGTCAAGGTCCTTCTCCGGCGTGCCAAATTTTCCGGCGCCCAGATTTCCGCGCAAAACAATTACTGTAAGGAAAAGGCAAAGAAGTGTAATCTTCCCATTCCGTATAAGCCTCTGGAATTGCCGCGCACGGCGGGGGCTGAGGACCCGATCTAGCATAATGGGTTTCTAGCTAAACACCGATTCGTGGTGGCGAATATAAAACTGGAAATCAAGAATCGTGGGTTCTTTTCAAGGGATTTAAAGGAATAATTAATCTAAGAACCTGATTGGGTATTTTCTTGAATCCATAACAAAAAGAAATTTTTGAGGGATTATTGAAGGAAAATAGAATCTTGGGAGGACCACATTAAGGTCATTTACCAAAATGAGATGGAGTTTCTATAAAAATTGTAAAATTCTGTCGGTGGAGAGTTACTTGGTAGATTCGAAGAACACGGAGAGAGAGAGATTCAGACAGTAATCTTAAATTCTGAGTGTTTTTTCTTAGTTTAGGAAAAAATTCACTCTTGGTCCCTAATGTATTGTCTCATGAACAAGTTGATTCTTATCTTGTAAAATATAGCGAGTTTGTTCTCAATTATTAGTTGTGTAAGCATAATCCATATCTAATGATGAAAAGTTGGAAATCATCCAAATTTGCAACAACTTGTCATGTGACCCTCATTAGGACATTCATTGCTTCAGAATTCTAGACTTCAATCAAGGACATTCACATGTAATGAATTGAAAATGTAAGAATGGTTTTCGAGACAAGGATTTTATTATTTTTTATACTAGGTGAATTCAAAATTGTGTCACCGCAATGGAAGATTGAAGATCAATTTGCTCTTTTTGAAAGTTTGAAGAGTAACTTGCTATTGAAACAAGAGTTGAGGGCTAATAGTGATATTTCCTTACTAGTTTATTGTTTCATTAATGATTAATGTAGTGATAAGTGGTCGCCAACTAGGAAGTTCTTGATTATTAGTCCGACGTGTGACCCACGATTTCGGTACTGTGAGTAGGGTTTCGGACAAACCGTGGGAACATAATTGCAATTGATATTCTGAAAGTATAGAATAAATTGTCCAAAAATCATATTCAAAAAATAATTTAAATTGAATCTTAGGACCTGTTTGTTCCTATTTTTTGGTTAAGAATGTATTTTGAAATAGTAAATAGTACAAGTTGAAAGCAAGTGGCTTATGTCTTTGTCTTTAGGTTTAGGGCTTCCACTTGGATGAAAAATGTGTAATTAAAAAAATAAGAAATTTTTTTTGGACTTGCGTGTAATATTAGTTTATTGAAAAATGTGTGATTGAAATGAAAAAAGAGAGAGACAAAGAGAAAACTATATTTTGAAAATACTGGAAATTAAACAAATGCTTAATATTTAGTGCTTGTTTGTGTCCCATAATTTGTGAGTAATGTATTATTGAATAATGATTGATATTGAAATGTGTGGTTAAAAAGGAATAAAAAGTTTTGATTTACGTGTAATATTATTTTAATGAGAATGTGTAGTTGAAAATGATTATTATAGAAAAAGTAATGTGGTAAAATGTGAAAAAATAGTAGACAAACAAAACCTTAGATTTTGGAAGCCAATGGAGATTTCTAATTAAACAGTTTTGCTACAAGTATAAAAAACAAAAGGGAAAATTGTAGTCGAGGTACCAAACCTTTCGTTTATTAGCAGACTTTGCCCAAACCTTTCGTTTGTGCCACCGTAAGTACCAAACCTTTAAAAAATGTGCAGTTCAAATCGATATTGACGATTTCTGTCTGTTTGACCATAAAAATCGTCAATTGACCCCAAAAATTAAAAATTTAATTATTTCCCCAAAATAAAGTAAGGACATTTTGAATAAAAACGCATATTTCCTATTAAATCAAAAATTAAAAAAATAAAAATAAAACCACAGCCCATCCCCATCTTTTTCTTCCCCAAATCAAAATCACTCCACCCAAACACCACATTCATCGCCGGCAGCCACCACCACTCACCGGCATCACCACCACTGCCCACCCAACAATACTCATCAAATTAGGCTACATCTCCAGTTTACCGCCAAGACCGCTACACTGTACCACACAACAGAAACCGTCGTCTATCGCCATGACCACTACACTACACCGCACCACACAACACAACCAAAACCATCACAGCCACTGCACCACAACCACCAACCCACATCACAACCATCAACCGCATCGCATCGCATCGCCAATGACAGTGACAACAACCAATCCGCAACCATAGTTCCAAAACACAAATCCAACCATACCCAACCACCAACCACACCGACAACCACTGATCCAAAACACGAATCCAGAACCAAAAATCCGACACCACCTCGTCGCTACGCCAACACCGCCTCACAACCATCAATGGTGCCTCACTGAAACAGCGCTAGGTTGTGACCGAATACGATGGTTCTGCACCGCCCATTCTTCACAGGCGAGAGAGACTAGAGCGACGAGACGTAGAGACGGAATGGGTTTGTGGAAAATTATTTGGGGGTGGAGGGGAGTTAGGGTTAGTTTATAAATTAAATAATTAATATAAAAAAATTGATATTTGAAATATTAAAGTTCCAATCTGATCTAGGAATGTTGAAATATTCTGAGTATTGTTGGGTGGGCAGTGGTGGTGATGCCGGTAGGTAGTGGTGGCTACCAGTGATGAATGTGGTGGTTGGATGGAGTGGTTTTAATTTGGGGAAGAAGGAGATGGGGATGGGCAGTGGTTTTATTTATTTTTTTTTTTTTGATTTAATAGGAAATATGTGTTTTACCCAAAATGCCCTTACCTTATTTTGGAAAAATAATTAAATTTTTAATTTTTGGGATCAATTGACGATTTTTGTGGTCAAACAAACGGAAATCGTCAATTTCGACTTGAGCTACATATTTTTTAAAGGTTTGGTACTCACGGTGGCACAAATGAAAGGTTTGGGCAAAGTCTGCTAATAAACAAAATGTTTGGTACATTAGCTGCAATTTTCCCAAAACAAAATTTAGATAGAATTTTAACAGAAAGATACCTGGTAGTTTTTTATTTATTTTTGATACAACAAATTAAGAAATGCATCATACAGATACTGTCAACACAACATGTGTATCATTTCTATCAATAATTTCCTGCACTTATGAAATTGTTCTTTGCATAAATAAATTTGAGCATGTTGGGATGATATATCCTAAAGATAAGTAATAAATATGTGATTTATTTTTATTGTGAACTAACTTTCAAAATAAATCAACATGAGTCATACATTTGAAATTTAAATTTAAGATAAGTCATCCTAAACATGCTCTGAGATGCTTCTCGTGGCTCGTAAATAATTACTCGTCTATGCAACTAGTGAGTATGATTTTACTATTGAAAAAGATTGTGTGGTGAAAATGTTATGGGATGAAGTAAGATCGACTTTTTGCTAGATTGCTATAGAGTATTATCTGGGACAAGAGTAGGGTGGGAAATGAACGAGCCGCTAGTCATCTTACTTCGTAGGTGGGCGGCAGGTGCGAGACGAGTAGTGATTCACTTGTGCGGGTCATTAAGAAATAACGAAAAGATCATCGTCTTTCTTGTCATTTAATCCGATCACTCACAGCTCGTTTTCTTTCTTCGATGAAGATAAGTCTAAATGAGTGAAAAATATAATTTCATTAAAAATTAAAATAAAATTGGCATGTTATGAGAGACTTGCGAGCCAATTCAACTCATCCCACAAAAGGATGAGTTCGTGGATCGAAATGAGTCACTTCGATCAAGCAAGCCTCAAGCAACTCGACGTGACTCGTCCTACTTTCTCCATTTGGAGAAGAAAATAAATACTGTAAATTTAAAAGTAAAATATATAAGAACTCGAGCATATTCGTAATTAGTGAAGTTTTCACCGGCAAATAGCCGAAGCCAAATCATAGTGGTCTTTACATATTAAATTCAAAGTTCTTGAAAGAGTAAATCGTCATCAAAGTTGAGCTTATATGATATCAGAGATAGGGATAACAAATGGGCCGAGCGGCTCGTCGGCTCGGGCTCGTAAGTGGGCCGGTTCGGTGGGCGAGCCGAGCGGCTCGCGAATTAAACGAGCCACGAGCTACGACCGAAACAATCACTTTTTCAGTAACTGTTTCGATCCCTAAATTTTTTTTTTTATAATTTATGATCGTTAACGGTCACTGAATTTTTTCAGTGACCGTTTCGGTCCTTTAATTTTTAATTTTTATTTTTTCCCTCTTCTTCTATAAATAGTGACATTTAGCCACAAAATTTTCTACAATTCACTCTCAACTCTCTTGTGTTGTGTTGATAGTTGTACAATTTTTATATATAATTTATACAATATCCAATTCTCATTTCT